AAGGAAATAATTTGCAACATAACTTCTGACTTCTAATAAAATACTCAAACATTTACTTTAAATAAAAATATATGTTTGAGTAAATTTTGAAAAGGGCTCATTTGACCCCGCTTGGTACGTTTAGTGTAAGATCTTATTTTCGAAAGGGGTGTGCTTTAATTTTTTTTTTTTTCTTCTGTAATCTTTTGAAATACAAGTCACTTTGTAACTATTAATAATTCATTAATTTAATAACAAATGTTGGAATTTATGATTACGGAAGGATAATTTATGATAAAGAATCTTAAGTAGATAGAGATTGAATTTCGTTAATAAGATCTTATTTTCGAAAGGGGTGTGCTTTAATTTTTTTTTTTCTTCTGTAATCTTTTGAAATACAAGTCACCTTGTAACTATTAATAATTCATTAATTTAATAACAAATGTTGGAATTTATGATCACGGAAGGATAATTTATGATAAAGAATCTTAAGTAGATAAAAATTGAATTTCGTATACCAGAACTTGTACTAATGTATTTTCACTTACTTTGTCCGCAGATCATGCCAAAGTTGTAGAAAAAATGATCGTTCAAGTCAATGTTCAACTTCTTGTGCGTGATTTTCGTCTCGATCGTGTGGGAAAGATAGCTACATATGCTTAATAAAAAGTACGTCACCAGAACCGCGTGCCAGACTCTTTGGGAGAATAATTTCACCATCCACATGCGTAAGTGTATTACTTCTCGTCTAATATATAGCCGATAGCTGTATGCAAATTATGACATTGTGTTTGAAAGCTACGTGAAGAAACGTGATAAGTCTACGCTTATTTTCAATATTATTTTAATTACATTATATTATATTATTTTCAATATTATTAAGGAAACCCTTATGTTTCCTCGATAATCTCTCAAGATTAGAGTGATACATGTACTTTACGATTTTTCAATATTAATTCAAAATAGCGAACTGAATTTATTTTACAGTTATATTTCTCTCTTTCTCTCTCTCTCTCTCTCTCTTTTCTTTTTTTACAATAGCACAGAGTAAAAGGGATTGAAAATAAAATTTATCCGAATAACTCGAATTGGATCACTCTTGTCATTCTTTTTATTGTAAAATGTTCTCACTTGGTCTTCCATAAAGGCATTACTATCTGAACGACATCAAGCCTTCTGGTATAAAGTGCCATCCTTGATATTACATCTGTTTTATTGTCTTGAATATATTTTAACAGACCAGTTTCATATATGCCATCAAGTCCTGGCGATCCTGTACCATGCTCGTCCGTCAAAATCGGTTCTAGTCTAAAATGTTTGATTATTTCTAAGATTTA